TGTCATGACTCCTCAGAGCCACAAATTAGAAATATTCTTAATCACTTATGTAACCTAAGCAAGTTTTTCTGCTTTGCAGAAAAGGCCATAGAACCATCTCAGTGCTAAGGTTATCTACACCCCACCAGCTCAGCTGGCTGCTGAGGTGCCAGGGCCTCTCCAATGACACTGAAAGTTTTACAACTCACACTGTGCTTATGGATGAGGGAATTGATCCTTCCTTATTACAAACAGCAGAGGTGGTCAAGAGCTCTCCCCAGCACTAGATTATATTTGTCAGTTAGACAGCAGTTAGAGGTCATTAAATACTAAAACTTCTATTTCGAAAGGGTTTACTGCTCTTCCCAGCCAACACCTTGCTTCTGTTCTGTATTGATACTGCTTGCCCATTTCCATTTCTCTAATTACATTCCTACTATATCCCAGCTACTGAGCATTTAAGATCATGACAGTTTACTGCTAAATTTTGCAGTCCCTGCAGCAGCAAACTTTCACAGAAAGTACACGATGACATTCAAGAAAAATGTTTCATCAAATCGACTTTGCATCCAAAATTTTTCCCATAAAATGAAAGACAAATCCAGTGAGATGGGGATGATGATATAAAGAAAGCAAGATCAAGGCAAGTCATGTTTCAAGTAAAACATGCTTGGTAAGTTTATAATACTGGAAACCCTTCACTCTACATTCCCTTTATAAGGCTCACAAGGGACTGTTGTCCAGAAAACATCAATCCATTACAGCTGGCAACATAAGTTTTGGAGACCACTTTGGCTGAGGATAACCAAGTGTACTGACAAAAACCTCTGTCTTTCACAGAGGTTGTTTGCTAAGCATGGAGAGAATGAGATTTCTCAGTACCCATGCACTAAGGTGATATTTATTAGTTTTTATACATTCACCTCAGCCTCCCAGGTGACCCACGTGGATGTGTCAGGCCTTGCATTTCCAAGACTTCCATGACTACTATCAAAGCAGGGCGAGTGGGAACAAATATTCTTTTCTCCTGAAGTAAAACACTTATCAAATATACTCCCAGAGAAAATGATGAGACTTAGGAAGAAGCCTGCCATCATTTGAATACTGCCTTCACTAGAACAACCAACACAGACCCAACATGTCCCTCCATTTCACTTCTTGTCTCATTTCTTCAAGAAAATCTCCATTGTGTTTGCTCGAGTCACTGTTTGTTACAGCAATATTTGAACTCCACAAGGAAAGGGTAATTAGGCCAGCAGCCACCCCATATCCAGTTTTTCCAGGCTAACCTTGTCAGATCTGAGCATTCCATATCTACACCCAAAATACTTTTACTTAAGCATGTCCTTTGCTATAACTGATAGAGATAAATCCCCTTGAGCAAGGAAAGAATTTCATGGGAAATTTATGGGAAAAAAAAAAATTACATCCAGTCACTGAAGCAACACAGAATTTTTTCCAATCCTTCTATCACCAGAACACTGGGATAACACCCAAAAAAAAGGTGTAACTTTCTGGTAAATCCAGCAGTGATGAGTATTTTCTCAAAATGATGAATATGCTAAGTTTGGAGGGTCCATAGCAAAGAAATACCTGCCTAGTGATACAGATTTTGAATGGGCTAATCATGTAATCAGTCCTCCAAGGGCAAAAATTATCATGCCCTTCCACGAACTGAACTTCTAAAAGAGGTACTCAAACCATCCTTTTGACAACCTGAGAAATTTCACTGGATGTCAGGCCCTGAAACATGTCTTAAACTCCACGCAAACAGTTACTATTTTCAAAGTATAACAGAACTGCAATTATTCTGAAATTGAACTCAGGAAGATATTCTGTAAAACTCAAAATACAGACTATTTTCAGATCATGGCAGTCCTGGGAAAAGGCCTGCCACTGTGATGAAAATCAGTGTAGCTAAGAGGCTCCACTGTATGTTTCCATATAAATATTTTTCAAGTAAATAAGTTACACTCCAAGTGAATTGGATTCAAATAGATCAATAAAATTACTTTCCAGCCATCCCAGTATAGGAAAGACAATCCCTGATTTTTAGTGAAGGCAAAATTCTTTTCTCTACTTCTGAAAGAATTATCCCACTCCCTCAATTTCACTGGCATTCAAAGCAGTGTTCCTATTTCAACAGCTTTACCTGCCTCCAGATTGCAAATGGTAGCAACCACAGAAGAACAGGGAAATTTGCCCTTTCCCAGCTTTAGTGTACTCAGGTCCAGACAGTTTTCTTCATCTTTCTCTGATGAAGGATTTCCCCCATTAATTAGGAAGGCCTTGCATGATAAGGAGCAGATTTACTTCAGCTCATTTGCCACGTGGTCAAAAGGTGCCTTATAACAGCAGTGTTATCACATACCTGTATTAAAGTCAAGCTTTTATCCATTCTCTTTTACACAGAAGAGAATGAATTCTATTCTAGTTCTCTTTGTGGCTCCACTCATTTTCACTGAAGAGAGATTACAAGTCTGAGGAACAGTCTTCAAAGATTTTTGAATGAGTAATTGAAAAGGGCTAAATGAAAAGTAAATGTAGGTGAAGCAGCCCCTAAGTTGTAGACACAAGATTGATTAGCAACATGCACACAACTGCCAGCACATGCTCAGAACTACCTCACTTCTCAGTTGTGTGAAGAGAAATACAGAGTATTATGCAACATGCTTGGCTAAATTTAAATTTACAAAGGTTCACTGATATCTGTTTAGAGATCTTAGCACTACTAATGAAGGCAGAGCACAATTTCAGTTCAAAGAATGAAGCCTGCCTTCTATGCACTTTCCTCTTGTTTTCCTGGTAAATTAGAAGCAGCTAAACTCATATGGAGCATTTGATGTGGTCGGTTACATTGGGAAACATTTAAATAAGAAAGAACTTTGTTTGCAGACATATGAGCAAGAGAAGATGTAAGAAGTTGTAAAAGTTTAAGCTTCCTTCCTCTATTCCTTGGAATTTTTTTTTAGTCACTTGGTACATTCAAGATCTGGAACAATCTATGTCCTACTTTTAGCATTTGTCAGGACATGAAAAAACCCCAACAAAAAACAAATAACAGCAGGTTACAAGTGTGTTGTACTATTGAGCCACTTTACCCCATCTATGACTGTCAGAAAATTCAGAACACTCTGTAACTGAAAACATCAGCTCAGGTATAAATTCACTGAACCACTATGACCTCAAGCACAAAGTTCTAATTATTATATGTTTGGCAGGTTCTCTGAACAACAGAAAATAAAAGTCATAAACACTATTGGGACTTTTTCCATCCTCTCACTACTGGGGATTTCTGGAAGAAGCAAAAAAAAGCCCTTGTGCTCCTGTTAAGTTCAAACTGCTTTGTATTTACAGGAGTTCAGCATGAAAAGATTCCTATGACCTAAAAGGTTGAACATATTCTATAACAGTATAGCCCAGTGCTCAGGGCAATTCCCTTTTAAGCAAGGGTCTTCTGAGCAACCTTGTTTTTCTAATTTGTAAACTACCCCAAACCAATTTTTCTCTAAATATTTTCATAATATTATATCCTTTTGATTAACATTTCCTGTTAACTCTGTTAACAGCAAATGTTGTATAAAACAGCACCGCCATTCATTCCCATATCCTCCTCAATTTTTTTTTAATTTTATTTTTTTAAACAGGCAAGGATTTTGATTACAAATTTAGCTGTATCTTCAATCTCACAGACATTCTCCAAAATTAGCATACCTTGTCAGCCTTTAAAAAAAGTCTACCCAGTTCCTCTATGCTTACTGGATTAACAGGATAGCCACTATTATCTACACTGCAACACTACAAATGGGGAAGGCAAATGGGACAACAAATAACAGACAGCCATTGGCTTTTGAAAAAATCCCACAGCAACTTTTCCCACTCAACAGAATAAAATACGCCTTCATTAAGATCATTTGTCTTGAGGACCCCAAGAATTTCTTAGCCAGACCTTCTCAATTCCCTGCAGAAGCAATCCCACTGGAGCTGTTCCTCACCTCTAGCACAGCTGGCAGAGCCTGTCCTTGTTCCCACAGGGAGAGATTCATCTAACCTAGCTTTAGACACTGAAAGGTTACACATTTAATTCTGGGTTTGTCTCTGCAGGCTTTCCTCCAGTCAATGGAGAGAAGCAGGCATCTCCAGGGGGAAAGTTGTCTGACCTGCCTATTTTAGGCCCAGATGAATCACTCTCTGAAGGTGTCCATTTTTCCTCAATTGACTGTAAAGTCAATCTAGGGTGACTTCCCCAGCCTTTGATATCAACGTTTCTGATATCTTAGTGAAGACATCTGAATTTCACCTACAACTTTCAGAGCTGAAACCCAGCATCTCTGACAAATTAGCAGTGTTATGTATCTGCTCCTTGAAATGAAAATTTTCACACCAAACTCCTGGGTTATATTTCAGTTGACTTTCATGATTCACAACAAGACCTTTGTTTTAATCATAGATTCAAGATGGTAAGTTCACAAAATAAAAACAATTAAAAGCCAAAATTTAGTTTGACTTTGCTGAAGAAGTAACTCTTGGGTTTCTTACGTCCTATTCAGAGCTGACTTACACCAGATAGCTGTTCTGAATCCATCAGTAAAGCACCAAATACTTTTGTTCTTATAAACCAAAATCCAATAAGCATCTTTCACCAGTAACCACATTTGTGTGCTGAAGTTTGATACAATATTTCAGTTTTTAGTGCTAAGACTTCATAACAACAAATGAAATGCTGGAAAATAATGGAGAGAGAAACTGCTCCACACATCTCCATTTCATAATGGAGCTCTTCTCATTTATGCATTTTTCCCATGGGATAAGGTGATGTTGCAAATTCAGGAAGGCCCTTTCAATTGTTATTTTTGAGCAGATGATCCATCAGAGCAATAATCACCATTAGCCCTGCACTCACAGATTTACTCCATACCTAAGGGCTAAATGAGCCCTCAGATAAAGACTGATCCATGATCCATCAGCATTTAACTTGGATGACAGTCCTGTATGTTTTTCTTCTAATCACAAATTCTTACCATATGTCTTTCTCCACAGACGTATTCCCACCTCTTTCTCAGCAGATCTTAATGAGCAGTATCATTTCTGCAACACAAAAAACCAAAATTGTCCTATAATATTGTATTACCACCTTGGTTTTGTATGTTTTGGGTGTTTTTTGCTTGGTTTTTTTTGAAGAAGCTGTAGCTAATAAACTGTTGAAGTTATAGCTAAAATTATACATGGGAAAAACAAGAGGAAAAGCAAGATGAAACAGCCTTTTTACTACTAATGAAAACTCCCTTATAATCTTGTTTATTCTTAATATATCACAACTATTATCACTAGATAAAAGAAAATAAGTTTTGGCACACGACCAGCTAAAGCCATCAAAAAATTAATCGGTTTCATTCAACTCCATCCCGTTATTTCAGTCTGCCTAACCCACAATATCACTCTGCACTGCGTTGCTCCAGTGCAATCTATTTGCTCAGAAGTGTGCCTGCAGCAGCCACTGCAGTTATTAGGGATCTGATTACTGATCTTCCTGCAGCTGCCCCGTGGCAGATTCTCCTCTCCTGCTCATGCAAAGGCAGAACCCAAGCCCCAGCCTGGCCAAGCTGGGAATAGTGCTGCCTCCAGATCTCACACAGGAATTGGCATCTACCAATTCCTACCCACTCCCTAAATTTTAGCAGTTTTAGACACTGTTGCTCTTAACTACCTGCAATCAGATGCTACATTCAGCAGGTTTTTTAGGCAAGCATATTGCAACTTTTTTGCAGAATTTTTTTTTAATGATTTATACCAGTTCCACAAATAAATAAAGCATAGGTTTAGCTAAAGCCCATTCCTGATCTCAAAAGGGAGTAGCAGAGCATCTTTCTCAACAACAGACACATTGGATATTCTACAGGCAGACCTAAAACATAAATCACTGCATTTATTTCCCATGCAAATGTCTTGCCGAGCTGGCTGCAGAGGGGAATCACTGCCGCTAGGAGGCCAGTCAGAATAAAAATAACTCTTCATTTACCTGGATAGCAAAAACATCACCTGTTACAGAGAAGGCAGCACTGTCCAGCAGTGCACAGCAACAATTGTCAAGGTGGTACCTGTACTAACTCTGAGCAGCAGGCACTGGCCAGGCTCAAAAGAAATTGGGGGTCATATTGTCTGTTTTGTGGATCCTGTCAAATAATTATCTGTGCTTTTTAACAGACCTATGGGCCATGTGCAACATATACAAAATTTCAGGTGACCAAGCCTGAAAGAGCTCCTGGTCACAGCTGAAGAACCCTGAAGTCTTAAAACAGTGTGACATCTCATAGCTCTTGGAAAGACACTTAAATGCAAGGTTTGATTCCTCACTGCATCTTAAAGAGCCAGCCTGATCTGGGGAGTCCAAATCTGAAAGAGACAACAGGAACACAGGCAAAAGCTGTCAGATTTTCCCAAGTGAGAGCCCTATGGACTATATCTGCCAAGGGTCAACACAAGCAGATAACAGCATCAAGGCTGGACCTGCACAGTCCACAACAATCTATGTATGAAAGGAAGTGTATACAGATTAATATTACCTAATTAAATCACCAAACAAATGCATTGGGGTTGGATTATACACAAAAAGAAAGAAAGAAAGAAAAAAAAAGACTGTTTCAAGAGGATGGGGACAAGGTGCAAGAATTGCTTTTCAAATGCAGTAAAAATAGTAATAATTCTGCCATTATGCCAAGACCTTTCACTGCAGGACAAGTTTTTATTACCAGGCTATAGACTCCCAAGAAAATAGATTTATAGAGGGCATGATGACACTAATCAGAAATCCTTATGAGTGTCCACAGAGCACAACCTACAGGCATTGAATGAGTTCATAAAATCAATCATCCTAGGCCTTTAGAAATGTTTACCTACATGCTACTGGTTTTGTTAAAGTCAGTCAAATTTTAGGAGCAGGTACTTAGATTTTAATATATCCCTTCAAGGCTCTTTGTTTTGGGTTATAGAGAAGAGAAAACAGGAGGCAGTATCTACGTAGGTATACATGTCCTATAAATCACACCATTTGGAACCCTGTCTCTCATGATAAAATAAAATGCCATGATATAAAATTAATAGTGACTCAGAGAAAATACATTTTCTGATAGGTGTTGGGAGGTACTGGCAGAAATGAGCCAATGGTCTCTGTTAAATTTCTAAAAGAAAAAGGTCAAAAGCAATTTGTCCCCTGTCCCCACCTTCTTTCCCAGTCTAAATTGCTTTCAAAGCAATTCGCAATACCTCAACAAAAATAAAATTTGGCCCCACTGAGACCAATAATGAAGTTTCCACTGAACTTGCTGGAGACAGAATTTCACTTTTGGATAGCAGAATATCATCTTAAATCATGGCTTGTTCCCCCTTGCTCAAGTCTGAGATCAAGCACATTTATAAAGTGATGACTGCAGGATTCCTGGAACCAATATGTTCCATGCTAAGATTTTCCTCTGCGTGCTCAGGAAAACAAGGTGTCTGGTTTAGACAGTTTGTAATCTAAAACCAAGATCTGCAAAAATTTATGATCAAACTTCCCTATTAAAGAAAAAGGCACCTCTCATCGGAGTAAATATTCCACTTGGTGGGTGGAAGCTGTTCCCAGAGGAAGAAGAAAAGACAAGCTATATTGCTCTGCTGTCTGAAGTTCAAAGAAACCCTCCAGTATAAAATATTTGTAATGTGTTTCACTGAATAATTTTCAGCCCTGAAATGTTATTAAAGTAAGAATTTCACTTAATATGAATATATGCAAAATACAGCATTTTTTTTCATGCAAAATATATTCACTTACATTGCTTAGGAGAATGACAAGATATTATTCTGGACTATCAATTCTAGAATTCTGCTCCACAGAGAATATGAAACACTCCCATACACTTCATACATCACCAGTGTTAATTATGCAATGTTGCAAAAGAAGGTTAAAAAAAAAAATCTGTCCCTTAAGCTTTCAATTTGCTTTCTTAAGCATTAAGTATTTTGCCCTATTTTGTAGCGTGCACAACTAGAAATAATTTTGCAATGTTTTCATGTATGTTCAATAAAAATGCAAATATATAAAAATCCCTATCCCCGAACAATAACTCAGGTTGATGCTTACTAAATAATATTTCTAAAAGATTGGAAAACAGGAAATATATGAAGCACATCCTTTTAAAACAGTTTCCAAAAAACCATTATGTTCTGCAGCCTTGAAGGGCAGTAGATGAGAGACTGCCAGTTTTTGCTGTAGATATGTAATTCTAACACCTAGGTAAAAGCTAGTTGAGATAGCTGCTTCCCTTATTCCTAATAATCAAACCCAGCAACTTCAAGACCTGACCAAAGAGGCATCAGTGACTATTAGCAGATGAAAGAAAGCACCATAGCCTTTGCAAAGATCTGCTGTTAACCAGCTTCAATGACTTTCCAGGCAGCCTACCTGTTTTGTTTGCAGCTTTAATACACTGGTGGCTACTTATGCAAAAAAGGCAAAAACTAATTAAATTTGTTTATGTATGTTATCGTGTGGAGCACTCATTTCCAGACATCAAGCTATGAATCATTAAATAACTGCTAAATTGGTCTCCTGGGATAGATCATGCCTCAGAGTTGGGCAGGCCCCCATCCCACCAAAGCCAGGTGTGCTCTGCAGTGAGCAGGCACTAAAACTGCTTTAAAGGCCATGATTTGGGTACCCAGCCAGGTCTCACACTGTGAGGTGAGTGGTAGGAAATCATGAAAACAGTGACAGCCCTCCTGTCAGAGTTACTCCTCTGTTTGATTAATGAGGGCGTTTGAAAGACAATTAGCCAGAGCAGGTTTGGCTGCAACTAGCTTATCAATCAGGCACCCTCTGTTAAAAGCACTACTGCCTTCTTTGTTTTTGGTTGCAGGAGAATTGTATCAATGATACACCAACAACAAGGGACCTTTACATGTTAGGTATAAAAAAAAGAGCAGAATGTAGCAAATCACAACTGAAATAGAATAAAAATGTGTTGCAAGCCACAAGCCACTGGTTGCCAGGAAATCATCACTGCAACTTCCACATGGTTGGATTTTTTCGTTTGTGCATGGTGAATTCAAGGCTGCAGAAATATATCAAGCACTTCCAAGCTTCACAAGGACAGGTTTAAGCTAAGTTTTCAACAACATCAAAAATGAAACCTAACTACAAATGATCCCATATGTAACAAAAGAGAATAATCCTTCATTAGAAAACCTACTGTGAACCTACTCTCTGAGCCTCAACACCTTTCAACTGTTTCAATCAAAAAACAAAAATAATTTGTTTCAATAGTTCACCAGTTTGATTTATCCATTAGTAATGCAACCTCTTTGCTTTCCAACTACCAACACAGGTAGAACTTAATGCTACACTTTTCTTAGGCAGCTGCTCACCCAGGAACATGTTTCACTCTTTGGCTTAAAAGAGAGCTTTGCTTCAAGTGGGGTAGTCCTTGAATTCATGTAAGTGATCAAAAATATGCAATGGACAATTTAAACCATGTCAGAACTTCTTCTGAAGATTTGCATTTCCATCAGAACAGTTTTTATCAAACTAAGGAAATTAGTCTTTTTACCTGTGAATGAGTAAAAACCAAATTACCGACTAACATATTTATATTACTCTCTATCTGAATAAATCCAAGACTGAAAGAGTAGGATTGAGACTGAAGTGCAATGCACCACTTTTCCTTTCAGTTTACTGTTCATTTTCCCTGGCAATAGCAGATCAGAGGTATTCTTAATGCATGACTAGTGTAGTACTAAGTGGGTATATACGCAGTGCAAGGAAGCTAATGTTTTTTTAACCTTGCTAGAATCTATTTCAGAAGCAAGCTCACAAAATACCATATTGTGTGTTTGAATATGGGGATAATAAAGCAAGCAGCAAATTATTCTTTGATTAGATTAGTTAGAGTACAAAGACAGAGGGAGATTCAGCGTAGCCCAAAAAATCCTCTCTGAAGCTTCCCTGTGTTGGCAGAATGTGATAGTCCAGCATTCATGGACAGAGAATTATAATTGTTTTTTAAAATTTGGAAGGGTTCCCACTGAGAACACACAGCTTGTCACAGGGTTAA